AATTTTTCATGTTTTTTATTAATGTTTATTCAATCTTTCATGCCCTGCATTGATTTTTATTCATTTTTTCATGTTTTTCATTGATTTTTATTCAATTTTTCATGCCTCGCATTGATTTTTATTTAATTTTTCATGCCTCGCATTGATTTTTATTCAATTTTTCATGTTTTTTATTGATGTTTATTCAATTTTTCATGCCCATCGTTGATTTTTATTCAAGCAATTTTTTCGGATGTTTTGCGGATGAAACGTATAGCAGCGAAGTTTATTTCGAAATTTCTAATTTTTATGGAAAGAATCATCGCCTGAGCATCGTTCAGGAGCTGTTCACTGGCGCCCATGGCGACCCAAATACTATAACTGTTTTTGCTTCTTGTTCATAGGTTTAACGGAGAGATTTTTCTACTGTATAAGAAAAAAACAAAAAAAAAAACAGACTAGTGTTCCAAATAATAAAGAAATTTCCTTAATCAGTATTTCTTTTCAAAAGTCTTCGCTCACATGATAGCGCAATTTAAAGGGACAATTATGAAAAGAGAACAAAGTCGAAGGCCCGTATGTATAGCATAAGGAAGAGTTGCTTTCCTTGCGGAAATCGATTGAAACAAAAAACTATATCATCGAAAATATGGAACACATCTATACGCCCGTGGTACATTCAATTGTCCATATTTTTTTGCTTATTGTTTATTCATTTGTTATATTTAGAAATATGTGGAGTTGCCTTCAGAGGGGGGCCCGCGGGCTATGAAAAGTTTCTTGCCAAGCTTCACCAGATTTCCGGTATAGAAAAGATTTATGACAATTTGTTGGATACAAGAGATTAATAAATTTAACATAAAAAACTAATATGAAAGAAAACAATTATATTATTTTCATTTCATTTTCATATTTGCAACATCGTTAAGATATCTGCTTTAATATAGCTTAATCCTTACAAGATGGTTCGATTAAGGCTAATATTGACGTTGATCGGCAGAAAACTTGGCTTTATTCTCATTTTCATTTAGGCCGTATGCATTATAAAAACACTCATCAGAGTTATCCTTTCATCTGAAATTCACTGATTAATGATATTAGAGAAAAAAGTCTTAAGAGTCTTCATAGTGTTTCACTTTATTTCGCTTATTTTATATACAGTTTTTCTAAAAAAAAAAAAATAATAAAAAAACAAAAAAACTTAATTTATGTTTACATATAAACAAATATAATAATAATAATATATAAATAAATATATAAAAACTTAAATGTTTTTTTTTAGTATTTAATTAGTTATGAATGTGCGTTTCCGTGTGTACTCAAGTAATTGTTCGAATCAAAAACTCTTTTGTGTGGAATTTGTATTTTCTCAATTATATAGAATTTGTATACGGAAATTATTGAGTACGAATGAATATACACATTAATCTCGCATCGACCTGTTGAATGATTGAGAACGAATATACGTTTATTCTCAAAACGGCACAATACATGCAAAACAAATGAGAACGAATATACGCTTATTCTCAAAGCGGCACAATACATGCAAGCCCAGTAGATAAAAATCGCGATTATAAAATTTCTTACTTTATTTAATTTTACAAGTTAGCCTAAAATTAGACGCCATAATTTTTATTATCAAATCAAACAAAGCCCTCGCTAAATTTCCTTTTAAAAGGCAAAGCAGAGTTGCTTGTAATAAATAAAAAAAAGCTACACTATTTTGTCGCAAGCTATACTATTTTGTCGCAAGCTATATTTTTTTGTCGCAGGCTATACTATTTTGTCGCAAGCCGTAAGCAACCAACGTGAACTAACTAATTTTTCATGACACGCTCTTTCGTTTAATTTCGAACTGTATTTATATTAATAAATAAATAAATTCAGATTTGTTATCCGCCTGAGTGGCCGAGTAGGCAAGGGTCTCGACTAGTAACTCAATAGTCGTGGGTTCAAACCTCAAGTGCGGTAGAATTTTTAATAAAAACCGATAGCCCTAGATGCTAGTGCTTTAAGACTTTAGTCTTAGAATTTATTCTCTGGCTAAATTTATAATAATAATAATAATAATAATAATAAATCAGATTTGTTACATTTTCAAATTTTCTTTTTATTTGATTTTTTGTATAAGATACGGAAAATTTATTTAAGCAGAAAATAATCCTACAAGTGTTTTTGTTTTGAGTAAAAAAACTCCCTAGTCAAATATAAACAAAATAATAATAAAAATTCCTCAGGAAGTAATTTATCTCAGCTTTCGTTTACTTCTATCAAAATACATATGTATTTTTTCTCATACATATACTGAGTGGTTTTTGTTCATGTTTAGAGACTCTACGTTTGATTTTTACAAATTCTGAGAGCTCTATGTTTGATATTTACAAATTCTCATACACATTCTGAGTGGTTTGTGAAAGACTGTTGGAATGCTTCTTAGAAATTCTAAGATACCATTGGAGTGCTTCTTGATTTAATTTTAATGCAACAACTACGCGATGAAGAGATGGTTGAGGAAAAATATATATAATATGAATTTGTTAGAAAATTAATTAAATGTCCATAATAAATAAATAAATAAATTCAGATTTGTTACATTTTCAAATTTTCGTTTTATTTAATTTTTGTATAATTGATAACTAATAAGTAATTAGTAATATTTTGTATAACTAATCAGCAATGTGCCGTTATTTTAGTAGATGCATTTATTTTGAAACGTTCCATACGCACGCTGCAATTGAGAATTCACATGCTTCCGATAGTGATTTTTAGTTCAGTGTTACATAGAGCACCATTTTTGTGGTTATATCAGAGATGATACAAGAAATGGAAGAAACAACTTTACGCTGAATGGATTCTTTGGGATGTTAATGACAACATAAAGCCGTACTTCTACCAAAGATTTGGTAGTAAGTAACTTCTTGCTGTGCTTCTCAAATTCTTGTGATGCGTTCTTGTACTTCCTTTACGCTTTCAAATTGAATTGTAATGAAATAAAAGATATAAGGAATAGGTTCACTTTCGTGAACACTTTTTTCAATAGCTAATTAAAAAGAAAAATTTCGTTTTAAAGCACATTCTTTGTAGGCAAATTCATATGTTGATGTATAATTACATAAAATAAAAATAAGCAGACAAAATTCATTCAGTTCATAATGTGAATAATGAATGAAAGTTAACTTAATCCGAATCTTGAGTTTCGAGTTCACCCGGCCGAATGAACTCGTTCTTTTACTTTATTAGTTCTAACTTGTTACCATGGAACGACTCAAAGTTAACCACTATCAACGTGGTCGCTAAATCCAAGATGACAAAACTTAGGAAAAATTATTCCATAAAAGCAATTGGACACAAAAGATCTTTTTCTGTGTAAAGGTCGTCATGAAGGTAGGCGGTTACACGACACCAAAATCGAAGTATTTAAGGAAAGAAAGAATTGCATTTGATGAAACGGTATAAAGTATTTAATGACTGCCTTGGTAGATTACAATGATTTTACTTGTTTTTATTTACCCCCTCACGTAAATTGTGAAAAAATTTCTTTAATATTATATATAACTAATATTATATATAACATATTATATTGTAGAAAAAATTGGTTGATGCGGTGTAATATAAATGAACGTTTAGTTTATATTAAGTGTACCGCAGTTTAGCCCTAAGCTGCATACAGCATAGCTTTAACGCTTTTACTATTCACGTTTAATTAAAGCCATTACCGTAGCATTTCTAAGTATATTACATACCAAGTTTCATTGAAGGGGCCCAAGAACGCTTTATTAAGGATTTATGAGAACTATATATCAAGTAAATATAAAATGTAATGAATACAAGCTGGATACAAATAAATAATAAATAAATTTAAAAGTTCGCTTTAATAAAACAATTTCGTACACATTTATCAAATTTAGAAAATAACTCGTCAGTGCGAAAATTAGTTGTTGTTTTTTTTTGTTTTTTAAGAAAATTTACTATCATTTTTGCAAACGCCTTGTGGCACGGCGTATTGGCCGTTGTTCTGTGGGAGCAGCAAAAACGTTATTTGCCGACTTTAGGGCACTATCAGAGGCAGAAGTATTTCGAAATGCAGCGGCACCGGTATTAAAAGCTGTAGTTGCCGTTTTAGTTGCGGCAACGGGAGAAGGGAACATATTCGTTAAGGCCTCGGTAGTCGTCGCCTTAAAGGTAAAACCTTTACCAGAAGGTGTAGGTGTTTCATTCGACTTTGTAGTACTTCCGAAAAGGTTTCCTGATGAAGGGCCGTTACCAAAGGCAAATACCGTATTTGGTTGTGAGGTTGTACTGTTTGCGGACAAGGATGCAAACGTATTGTTTTCTGTTTTGGAGTCGGGCACTGATGTGCTATTGGATTGGTTTCCAAATGCAAACGTTCCAGTGCCTGCAGATGTACTGCCAAAAGTAAACGGCCTGTTGGCGATTTTATCAGCACTAGAACTAAAGCTTGGAATTATTGATTGATTATTTGCTGATCCGAAAGGTGAAGATGTTTGATTCACCGCCGTAGAGCCAAATGATAGTGTTTCATCTTTTTTAAGTAACGATAAATTGCTGGAGGCGCCAAAAATAGTTGCGGTTGGATTTGATGCCATAGAACCAAATGTTGGTGTTTCGTCTATTGTAGGTTTCAATAGGTTATTTGATGAGCCGAATATTGATATTGTTTGATTTGCTGCATTGGAACCTACGGGCGCTTTTTCATCTTTTTTGGATACTATTGGATTGTTTTGTGAACTGAAAAGTGATGGTGTCTGATTTGTAGCACTTGAACCGAAAATCGGGACCTCATCTTTCTTTGGTGCAAATAGATTACATGGTGCGCCAAAAATTGATGGTGCTTTAATTACGGCGTTGGGATCAAAAGTCAGGTTTTCGTCTTTCTTTATGGCCAATGGATTATTTGATGAACCAAAAACTATTGCTTTTTGATTTGTCATTGGCGAAGCAAATATAGAAGGGTTCCTGGAATGTGCGCTTTCAATATTTGTTCCTGACGTTTGCGAGTTTAGAGATGTAGAAGAACCGAATAACGGTTTTGATGGCTGAAACGTTAAACTTGATAATGTTGATGTTTTTGGTGTTGCTATTGTTGCCGTTGTTGTTGTTGTTGTTTGTGTGCTGCATACGGTAGAAACACCCGTTGTTTTAATTTTTGAAGTTCCAGTATTGAAAAAACTGAAAGTTTTGGTTTCAGCGTTATTGACAACGGGAGCAGGAGAACCAAAAGAAAAGCTTTTCTGTACAACATTGGGTTGCGTTTTAGCAGTAGGGACAACGCTTTGTGCTGAACCAAAACTAAAGCTATCGGAAGATGTCACGGTAGGTGTTAATGCTTTTGCGTTGGTCACTTCGCTGGGAGGCGCACCAAAGAAAAATGTTGGCTTGGAATCATTATTTGGTGTTGCAATTGTTTGCGAGCTGCTAAAAACAGATGTGGTAAGGGGCGCGCTTACTGCGTTGCTTGGCGTCGCATTGAAATTAAAAGCCCTTGTAGTCACAGTTGCAGCCGAAGGACTAATTCCTTGCTCCGTAGTTTTGTTAGAACCAAAACTAAACGGTGTCAGTGAAGCGGCGCTAGCTTGTGTGCTTGTTAGTGTTAAAGGATTTGAAGGACTATTCATAAACAAATTGGACGTTATGTTCGAGGATTGTGACGTATTGGACATCTGATTACCAAGGCCGAAACTAAATGTAGGTGTTGAATTACTATTACAAAAAGCATTGGAATTGATAACTAATGATTCTGTTGTTGTTGAAATATCTTTTGCCAAAGTTGTAATAGGTTTTAAGGTGTCAACAGAATTGAGCGCGAAACCAATATTTAAGTTTGTAGTAGCCATTGTTGTAGTTGTAGTAGTTGTTGGAAAAATAGGTGGATTATTAGACATAACCTCGTTTTTGTCAATAGCGCCATTAAGCGCTGAATTGATATTAAAACCACACAACTTTGGTGTCGTTGATAACATCGCTACGGGAGTAGTTAACGCTGTAGTCGTGATGCTATCAGTATTAAAATTTTGTGGGGTTGACTTTATACCAGTTAATGGCGAAGTAAACGTGGGCTTTGTTGAAATAGTAGTAGTAATATTAGCAGTTGCCTTATTTAATGCAGAACTAAAGTTAAAACCTCCAAGTCGTGGTATTGTCGGGAGTTTTGCTACATCGTCGGAGACATTTATTGCAATAGCAGCAGTCGGTGTATTGCTACTAACGTTACTACTTTGTGGTGTTAGTTTTATTCCAACTAGCGGTGAGGTGGTAGTGGTGGGTTTTTTTGGAGAAGTAACTGCTGCTGTGACAATTGACGTAGCAACTGGCGCAGTAACTATTGACGTTGGCATTATTAAATGAGGGGTGGCACCTATAGATTCGGTTCCTGTCGCCTCTAAACTATTCACTGCTGTTGAAGAAGACTCTGCCGCTCCTGCCGAGGTTACAGGATCTTTGTTGGCAGAGGAGCTCGCCATTGTATCATTTGATTCCTCAACGCGTTTAATTTCTGACTCTCCATCAGTTTTGCCAGAATCTATATGATCTTCGGCATTATGCCCTTGATAAATTTCGCCTTTCAAACCACACAACATCAGAGCCAATTTCGATTTTTGAGTTCTTTCAATGATTGGATTTTTTATATTACTTATAGAACATGTCTTTTTCGGTTTTACAAATTGTATGCCCACACAATCGTCATAGTCTGCATTATTAGTCAACGTATTATCGGCATTACTGTTTTCGTACGTCTTATTGAACAAAGTTAGGCGTGGTTTATTAGTTTCGATATTTTCTGCAAGTTGCTTTCGGTCCTTTATTATATCAGTGTTTCGATAGGAAGGAGAGCGTTCTAAATTATTACGTTGTAATTCCATACTGTTCAGGTCGTGATCTTGAGTTGTAGGAGTGGCCGGTATCGGCGTTATGGGAATGACCGATTTTGCATCGTTACTTGCTGTTTTTATACGATTATTAATTTCCACATCAAAAGAACCTTGTTGTTTTTGTATCTTACTCTTCTGAATCTCGCAATTGTCCGCAAATGTCGGTGAAGTTCGACTTAGTTTTTCAGAATACTGCTTGGGGTCATAGAGCTTGCGTTTCATACTTGAGCTGAGAGAACTTGTAATGTCATTATTATAACTACACAAGCGCTTTTTCACTTGTTCAGGCGACGATGGGCCGCCAGGTATTGTTGTGCGACAATAATTCACACTGCCATCTCGTTGCCTTTTGTAGCTTTGTGTAGATATAGAATCTTGATTTTGATTTAATGGTTGGCCACCACTAGCTATATCTATGGTATCGTTTCCCGAGCGTTCGCAATGTTTCTTATTAGTTTCATTAAGTGTAGAATCCTGTAAAGTAAAAGCCGGAAAAAGATTGCATTAAATTTAGACTTATTCCGTTTTTGTGATCGAAACTATTTTAAGAAATTATTAAAAAACAAAAGATATTATTGTAAACTCTAAACACCTTCTGTAGATTTTTTACTCTGTTATTTAACACAGATGGCTGCCTTGATTACATGGAACGAAGCCCTAATAAGCAAGACATTAGTGCAACATAACATAATATACAAAAAGCGCTCAACACAGTTAATATAGAATTTCCGAAAAGCATTAACGAATTGAGGCTTAAATATCTGATTTATTAACTTACGGGCTGGATCGACTAAAATTTGATTTACCAGGATAAAGTTAAACAAAAAAAAAAGCTGACACAAAATTTGTGAGAGTTTCGAATAAGCTATTCAGTATATGCGAGTTCTTTCAACTAACCGAAATACAGACAGACATAGCCCAAGAGGTTTTCCTCCTTGGGATGGTGAAGAACATATGTTGTTTAAAGGAGGTTCGCTCTCCTTCCTTCTATAACGCAGTCATTTTTCTTTTCAATATTATACTTACCTCATTATTAATACGTTTGCGCGATATCTCTTTTAAAACTTCGAGAACACTGCGTGTAGGAGCCATGTCGTTTTCCGTAGGAGGCGGATGGATAATTGGCCGATTCTCGCGTGATATTTCTTCGTCGCTTTTATGCAAACCTACAACCGAACTCGATCGCAAAAGGCTTGATATTGTATTGCCATGGAAAGCAGGTTTATCTATAACATATTTAAATATTAAGTTTACTCGATTTTAAACAATTGCCTAGATATACATTCATTACCTGGAGGGGCAATGTAAGTCATTGAAACTGTTTGTTTTGTAGCTCGTAAAGGTAGCTGGGATTTATTTAAATTAACCACTGGAAATTGTCCTGGTTTGATATAGAGATTATAGGCTGACATATTACGATTTAGGCGCGATTCGTTTTCGTGGTACTTTACAATACGCGAAGCTAAACCCTTACTCTGAACATCTGCAAAAATTCTGTAAAAAGCAATGATAAATAACAAAAAAGAAAAAAATAGCTTCGAATGTTCATTTACCTGGAATCAATTTTTGAAATATTATTCTGCGAACGTGATGATTCTCTAAGCAAATTTCTCGCTTTATATTCTCCCATTGTTGAATTACTGTACGCAAATGTAGATTTGTCCTTACTTTTTCTTGGGCTTATATCACAAATTCCCCACGGAAAGCTGTTAGACATTTGTGAGCTAAAATAGATGCAGTAATTAATTTTAAAAAAATCCACTATTATTATGCTCTACTGACTTGGCATTTGAGTTAAGACGAGTAGATTCTGCCCCGGGAAGCATCTGTGATGATACATTAAAACTATTAAAACTATAACGTCGTTCTAGCAACAAATTCTTGTCCATTATATTAAAGATTTATTAGAAAACACAAAATCACTTCAAATTTTTTCTTTTAATATGTATATGCTATTTTTTTTTTACAAGTTTTCAATTACTCTGCCTGCGTTAAAAGGTGTGATGAAATTAACAAAATAATATTCAGCGTAACGCATGTGCGTTTTAAAGGTAAGCGTAACAACAACTTAAAACAAAAAAAATGCTGTGAACTCATATGAAAACCTTAATTGATGTGAAATTAACAAACAAAAACACAAAATTTTTAGATACTTAATAACATGAACACTTTATTTCAATTCAATCAGCAAAAATCCATACAATGATGAAAGTGAAAAAAGAACCCTAAGAGCCCGGACATCTAGCTTTCTCCCTCGAAAAACAGGGAAGTAATCACGTAGTTGAAAGTTAGCTTTCGCATTCAGCTGCTCTTGCGAAACAGCTGAATATTAAAGTAAAAGATAAATTTCTCATATACGATTACCTCTTAGCTTGGACCGCAAACAACGAAATCTAATAAACTACAGCTATCATCGAACTATTTTCGGGGTGGGAGTTCAACTTTACCGACTTTTTATAAGACTTTGTGGGAATTAAAACGAAATGGAAAAGCATGAAATAATGACAATTTATTTTAAATTTAAAAATTTTCCATTATATTTATATTTATATTAAGACCTGTAGGCTTTTTTGGGTCTGGGAATAAAAGTTAAAGCCGCGCATTCTGAAAAATTACTTAACCTGTACTGATGGTTCAGAGCTGGGGTATTTTGCCTCCATGCGTTGTTTCCAAGAAATTGTAAACAAAATAAATGAAAATCTTCGTGTGCTTTTTTTGATCTGCAGGTGTATACATATCTATAGGACAATAATGCGCAGAAAAAAAACGGTAAAAAGACCAGGTAATGTACAGCGTTAATGAGCTCATGAGCAATATAAATCGCTATACACATCTTATGCGAAGTCCTAATTTAAGACGTTTTGAGTATATTCTAATGCAGTTTGGACGGCAATATATGAATTCGTAGGTAATATATATTTAATATGTGTGTATAATCCGTACATAGTAGCAGTACTTAACTATTATATTTAACTATTCATTTCCTTACAAATTTTTTAAGAGACTATAAGGGCGACATAATAAGGCGTTATTTTCGTTTTCGGGCTAAAAACTTCCAAGTGGTAAACACAATCGCTAATCGCGCTACGATATGATTACACAGTAAAACGTAAACAAAAACGTATGGTTTTAGAACCAAAAATAAAGAAATCAGCGTAAACAAAAACAACAAATTGATAAAAAATAACAAATTGCTCTGGGAATCATGTTGTCTTGGTAAATCATATTACGTGTCTTTCCTTCTAGTTCACAACGAAATTCCTCAAAGCACTTGCCCATCGTGATTTAATAGCGTTTAATAGGGTATATAAATGCTAATGAATAATAAAAAAAAACTTTTCAAAAGATTTTATTGATAAAGCAGCTCTGCGTATGACTGTTTCAAATACTCTGTGGCGATTTAATCATTGTAATCACCAACGTTATGGCAGATACTTGCAAAAGATAAAAGCTTTACTCCGTATTAATCCAAAATAATTTTAAAAGTTTGTTAATTCTAAGAAAAAATATTTATAATTCCTTCATCGACGTCTTATAGCTGCACCGACTTGTTGTTGGGCTCTCCATGAGTCCACAATTCAGTGTGTATCACATAAGAAAAGCCTAACTTTCGCTGCTTGGCAAAAATGGCTGAATACAACAGCGAAAGTTAACGTATTAACGCCACCGCGGCAAAAATTCAATTAAAAAATCGATAAAAAGCGAGCTTTTTAAACTCTATTGAAGTTTAAAAATTATAATTATTTGCAAGTAAACAAGATTTATTCTAAAATATTATACAAATAAATTTCGACTTATTGTTGCAATATTCAAATCAATGATCATTAAAAATTATGTCATCCGGAAAGGCAATGCAAACAAAGACAAGGAAATAAACACGAAGATGACACACTTTGTACACAAGTAGTTATTGACTAATCGGTCAGTAATTAACGAACTGTAAGAACAAGTAGACAAACACGTACAATTGTCAAGTATGTTAACATTTGCCGTTAAGATAGAATAAAATATGAAATCTTAAATACAACAATATAAGAATATACATGTATATATATTGGATCCAAAAAGTTGTTTCGTTCCAGTATTTGACGTACTTGGGTTTGTTATTTGCACTGAGTTTGATAATAAGAGCGCATAATTACCGTATGATATTGGAAATCTTGATGGCATCTTGATGTTCGAGTCTTGTTTACCTTTTCAAACATCCTATGCTAATAAAAAGAATAGAATTTGATTGTTCCAAGTTCTAGCTATGGAAATTTTAAAAGATATGTGCAGAGTATGCTTAAAAACAGACGTTGGAAGCAATTCATTCCTAGACGAAGTCGAATATGATTCTTATATAAAATTAAGCCACATTTTCTTAAAAGTGACAAATGTTGAGGTAAGTCTGATTTTAATCTTCTAATTTTTTGTACATTTTGAGAATACTTAATATTCAAGGTGAATGAGAATGATGAAATTAAGCCATCGCGTTTATGTGAACAGTGTACTACACGTCTATTAGGGGCTTACGAATTGATATGTGCCGTTGAAAAAGCTGAAGTGGAAATCGATTTACTTTTACAACAAGAACAAGTGCATTGTGAAGATACAGATTTGCCAGAAAACAACAATTATGTTCTTGGTGATGATGGTGAGGTGGAAAATAACGAAGAGGAAGAAACGCAAGATTTAGAAATTCTAGATGATGAATTTCAACTAGATCAAGAAGAAACGCAAGAAGTGTTTTACATGCAAGAAATTCGAAACGATTTAGCAACTAGTGAAAATGATGTGTCGCCAAATCGCCAAAAGACAGCAATTGGATCGCGATTGGGCAAACGTCTAGCGGCCGGCAATTTTAATTGCGAACTTTGCGATCGCAACTTTGCTAAACTTGAAACTTTGGAACGCCATAAGAAACAAGCCCATACCTTTTTGCCAATAGAAGTCATGGCAAATTCATCACTTTCGATCCCCGAAGCTACGCAAAATGATGACAAGGGAATTTTATGCTCCTATTGTCCGCGAATTTTCGTGCGGCGCGACAATTATGCACGCCACTTAATCACTGTGCATTCCGATAAAGCAGAGATAACACCTGAAGACCGCGAATTGGCTAAAGCAAAACATAATTATAAGAAAGGCTTATGTCCTCACTGTGGTGAAAGTTTTTCCCTAGCCAGTCTCAGCATACATATTCGGCGTCATACTGGCGAAAATCCATATAAATGTAGCGAATGCTCAAAAGGTTTTCCTAGACGTCAAGATTTGGTTATACACGAACGCCAACATACAGGTGAACGACCTCACGTATGCTCAGCGTGTGGCAAGTCATTTTCACGAGCTAATAAGCTGTCACGTCATATGCGTATTCATACGGGCGAAAGACCCTATAAATGCACCAAATGCCCACGTAGCTTCGTACAGTCGAATGACCTTAAAATCCATATGCGACGTCACACTGGTGAAAAGCCTTACAAGTGCAACGTTTGTTCGGAAGCTTTCATATGTGGCGCTGCCCTACGGATACATCGCCGTCAAAAAGGGCACGAGTCACCAGAAGACGATCGAGACGATCCCTTAATTAATTGGCGAGTATCAACACGCAAACCAAAATTACAAATGAAAGAGGAAAACGAAGAACAGGATGACGAGCAAGAATTCTTAGAGCTCGACGAATCTATTGATAACTATTGAAAAATATATGGAGTAAATATTTGAACAAGTGTAACCTTACCTTAAAAAATAATCATGTAGTAAATATGAACAACCAACATTACTTTTTCAAAGATATAATTTATTCTTTTTAAAATTTGTAGTATATATATGCCTCAACGAGGAAAGGAGCGTACGCAGTTTTCATGAAAAATGTTAGATTTTCTAAAATTTAAAAAAAAAAAAAAATTCCGAAACAAAAAACTCTAAAGCAATTCCTAATAATTTTTTTTTTTAAAAAACGCCAAATCTAAAAAATCTATCACCATACCTTTTACATTTCTTATAAATTTGATAATTACACGAAATTTTAAAAGAGATGAAAAAGGAACACAAAGGAGGATTGCTAAAGTGGGAAAATTAATGCCTATTTTTGCTAGAAGAGGAATAAAAGGATTTCGAACGGGATCGTGAACGATCACGCTTCGAAGAAGAATGGCTATGAGAATGGGAGTGAGAGTGAGAGGAATAACGATATTCATCGTCAGAATCGCTCGAATGGTGGCGACGGCGACGCCTAACACTATCATTATAGCGATGACGGCCGCTAGAGTCTCGCTCTCGACGCGAGTGGGAAGATGAATGCGATCGCCTATCATCACGCCGTCTTTCTTTATTATCATGCGTCGTTGATTTTGACGATATGCTTTTTGAATGCTTGTGCAATTTGCGTTTTATAGTTGAACTGTTGCTATATTTTGAATGTTTTGAAGAATCTGAAGAGGAAGAGCTCGACTTTGAAGACGAAGAAGCAGAGCGTGATGAAACACGCTTCTCTTTTTCATATTCTCGTCGTTGCCGTTTCCTCGCAGATTTGTGTTCATATTTTAGTTTAGCAGCCTCTTCTAAAATATTGCCGGCCGTATTCAATAAATTTGACACACTCGCTGCATTAGGAATTAGACCATTCGGATCTGCAGTCATCGAATTTGCGGATAATGCGGGCAGTTTCGGTTGACTATTTGTTTGTAGTTGACTTATATATGAACAGGTGGCTGCCGTTAGTGATACAGCTTTATTATCTTTGTTATCGCTAAAGCGAGTTGTACGTTCCTTTCTGGCACTTCGTTCTCTATGCCGTTTACCTGTCAACGATAAAATAAAGGTAGTTAGAAATGGATTAATGGATCTTTCTTTCTGAGACTGTGTTGAAATGACTCTTATATAAATCTCTTTCAATACATGAGCCTTTGTATAAACATGCATGTCAACTTACAGCAAAAAGATTCTTATAAATAAATTTAGATCAAATTATCCTTATTCAATCCGACAATCCTTAAAAAGTTTTTCGCCGATAATTCTTGTTCTATGCAAAGAATAACCATAATTTAGAAAATATCCTGGTTTTTTTTAATTTTTCACATAAAAATTTCTGCAGAAATTTGCATTTTTTTAAATGCATATGACAATCATTGGAAAACAGCTCTGAAATATTCTGGCAAATTTTTTGTTGGATTGAATTTTTTTAAAACGTAATTTTTTACAATTTTTTAGATAACGAAACAAAAGAACACCGCTTCCCAACAAATAAGCAAAGCCAATCCAGTGATATATGGTATATATGATGTGATTTTTATACTCATCACCGAAGGATGAGGTGGTATATTCATTTACTCAAAACGTTTGTAATATCCAGGGCGAAACTTGTGAGAGCCCAAAAACTACACATATTCCTGCTCAGCATCAAATTTTAAAATAATTTAAGCATGTCCGTCTGTGCATTTGTGTAAATATCCTCCTGGCCACACAAACGGAGCTATCTACTTTAAATTTGGCCGAAAGTTAGGAAGTTCTCGCAAGCACTTTGGTACCAAATATGGGCCAAATCAGTCGGAGGAAACGCCTACAGTACTACGTAGCAAAAAAGTCTGCAAAAATTTGGGCGTATATTCTATGGGCAATGCTGTAGTATTTTTTATTATAATGTGTCATCATTTAAATTTTTTTTTTTTTTCAATACTTTTATAACACGCAGAAGTAAGGCTCAAAAATCCCATTAAGTGTTTAAATTTTTTGAAATGCACTTATGCATATCGGTCTGTTCGTCTCTTCGTCTATCCGCCTGGAAAACAGTGTAGTTGAATTTGAAAATGATCCAAACTTTCCAAAGAACAGAACCAATGCCTACACCATATAACGAAAACTGCGAACACCCTTGTTTTCAATGATTTTGCATTTGTTACTGGTCAAGTACAATATACACATAATATATAAATTTTCAATTTTATTCTAAAAATAGAAAAAGTCTATCGCGCCCATTCAGTATGGTAGAGTACGAAAATGTAGTTCTTTTCCCTTTTTTTAGAATTAGGTGATGGCTCCGATGGGTATATAAAAGATTCGGTCACGAATTCTATTGTAATTAATTTCCAAATTTGCCACAAAAATACACCATCGTAGCTATTCAATATCTAAGAATATTAATCCTGAGAAAAGGCCATAATCAAGTGAAATCGAAAGGGAACGCCGACAATCTCGCGAATAGCTACTGTATTATCCTCTTTCTTCTTATATGTTATTGCTATGGACACATTATAAAACATACACGGTGATTCTATGTTGCATTATTCGGTTGCCGAGACCATTATAATGACCGTAAAGTCACGCTATGTTACGTAAAATTGCCGTGAATTAGTGCTAATTATACCGTACAACGCTTGTGGGAAAGATGTAGTAAGTTTATGCAGGTGCAGACCTACCCTTTATTATACCGCTTCTGCTTTGTCTGTCTGCCTGTCTGTCTGCAGCTTGTCCATGTATTCTTCTGTTCAAACTTCATAAGTTGCACGTTGTCTCTGCGGATGTGTTTTAGCCCAAGGCCTCACACAATTCAAAATGACTTTTTATTAGCATATAAACTGAATGGAAAACCTTCGACATACCATTCCTATAGAAAAAAACTTTTCCCATTAAAAGTAAGTCCTTTTGGGGGCAACAAGGTTTAATTTTTACCATTATATGACTGCATCTAACAAAGAGTAATAAATTCGTTGAGGAGAATATTCGCTTTATCAAATTTGAACCAAGTTGATTCACGTTTTCTATAAGACTTATTATTATCATTCGAGTCATACTCTCTTTCACTGAACGTCTCTTTATTAACAATTTTCGAAACATATCAGAATATTCTAGTAATATCGTCTAATCATAAGTTGAACAAATTGTATAAATGCCGTTACTTGAATTAGTCTTCACAAAGTATCTCTAATCAATGAATCTAAGAGGTATTGAATATATCTTCCCATTAAAAACTATGCCTAATATGCGTAAAGTATTGCAAAGCAGTTGTAGTTAAACAACGGTAGTAAACGCGCACACAAAACTTTAAACAAAAACAACCATGACTGTCTTTGCATTTCTACCGATAAAATTAAGTGAAGCAGTTTTGATTGGATCGCCAGCTAATTTTAATTATTTTGAAATTGTGGACATTTCTCATTACAATCAAGGGCCAGAATTACAAAACCGAAAGTTACTTCTTTACATTAATCTAATGTGGGCTCATACGGCCGCTTAATTGCGGTTTATTCTTTTTCTAATATCAACGGATGTCTTTCTCCCAGGTTGTGGATAGCTGCGAATCTATTTTACTCTCACGTCCGTCTAGCGCAGAGGATTTACAACGCAGGAAAACCACGCCAAAAAGGTCTGTACCCAATTTATTGATTTGTGTCCTGCGATTAAAATCTCTTTGACAATTTTTAACTTGTGCTTGTAGTGATTACCCCCTGTCTAAGTTTCAAAGAGGAAAAGGCGTTTATCATATTCGCCCAGTTGTATTAATGGTGTTTAGAGCTTTAAGCTTCACCTCAATATTCCTTCATTACAATTTTTTTGCCTTGACATAGGCTCACTTTATACTGGACGGATCGGATTCACTTTCTGAATCGATCCAACATTGTCTGTCCGTCTGTCTTCTTTTTTATATTCAACTTAAACGATGCAATTTTTGAGATATTTTGACGAAATTTGGTGCAACAACATTATACGGCACAAGGACGAACGCTAACGAAAACGATTCGGATTGGATCACTTTTTCGACTACTCCTCATAAAACATTTTATTTTGAAAAGTCATTGCACGAATAACTGTGTTAAGCGAAAGTGTGTAGGGTATGAAGGTGAAGTAAGGTAGTAAGATCCACTATCTATTTTTAAATATTTAAATGAATGTTTCAAATATCGTATGGTGTTCATTCTTAACATCCTTAACACGTTTTTTTTGGGGGGGGGGATGTCCTCAGAAGGTGGGTATTAAAAAAAGTTTATCTTAACGGTTTTTCCTCTTCATTTGGAACTGTCCATAAAAGTGTGGCGCAAATAACTAGAGAAATTCTTCAGCTTAAGGATAATGTCTTGGATGTCGCCACCTACAAGCATACAAGAACAAATATACATCTTCTATGTTATACTCTACATCTTGAAAGGGGACGTTTCTTTTCCCATTAATAACGCATTCCAAAAAAAAGACTTGGATTCGATAGTAGAATGAATGTTAATGAGTAGGTGTGGAATGCAAAATCTACTACAACAAAAGAGTGCGCTACAAGTTTGTTAGAGCAGAACATTTTTTACGGAAATATTTCTACATTTCCTTTTGGCCACAATTACGAAATAAGAGTTTTAAAGCGTAATCAAATTCAAAGCGCATCTGAATAGCGCTTCTTTTAGAATGCATTTTTTTTTTTTTTTTTTTTTTAAATACTTGAAACAGAAAAAACAGTTTTGGCTTAAGAAATGACGCACCGTTTGAATGATGTAACTTTGATTCAGTTGTCTCACCAAATTCTCGCTCATAATTTTTACCATCTTTTGCAACGGAACCAGACGATGATACTTTACGTTCACGATTATCTTCATAATCTTCCGTATGTTCCGATCTATGTCTAGCATTTTGCTCTTCTAAACCGGTATAATATCTGACTTTCTCTTCTTCCCGGGATGCGGCCATTGCAACACGTTCCTCTATATCATCGGAGATTTTTGCAAATTGAAGTTTTTTAGAGCGTATTTCATTCTAATGAATGGAAGAAAAAAACTTTTGAATAAAATAATTAATTCATAAAAAAACGCGAGAGGAGAAGTTACTTTAATTTCCTCTTCGGAATTATAGTCGCTCTCGGAGTTTTCAGTTGATTTATGAGCATTAATTTCTTGGTCATCGGTATCCGAATTTTCATCGCTTGAACTGTCTCCATAAGCTGCTAAACCTATAATTTAATTGGTGCTAATTGAAAAGCTTAGGAAAATAGATAAAGGAATTTTTTAAGATCTCTTTAAATCTGAATTTTAATGCATCTTCAAACCAATTATAACTAAATTTTTCTTAAAAATATTGTTCTTTTTTAATGACAGCACCGCCCCCCGCCCCTCCCCCCTTCTCACCAATCAACGATTGTCGCACATAGTGCATGCGCAGAAATACTTCAAAAGTCCAACGCCATATATTTGGGGGTAAGCCGCTTTAGTCATGCTTACCCAATGCGCGTGGCCACGCGTCAGTAAACGGAATTTTAGAAACCGATCTATATTTTCTTCTATATTCATTCGAGCCAGACAACCGCGGCTTATATGCTATATATTGACGTGCATATGCACTGCAGCCATCTAAAATATGAATGTAAGAGCACTTCGCCTAAAAACACCCCAGGTTTACTCCACTACAACTAAAATAAAGATAGCAAATATTGCTAGTTTGCAAGTATATTTCGCGTGGCCATATAGACTAAGAAAGTGAGACCAATTGACTGACCGACACGCCCGTAAACTATTAAATATTTACAGCATTTATTTCTGCAAGTTTCTCTTAGGCGTTTTGAGGTAGCGAGTATGAAAGATTCGTCCTCGGAAGTATGTAACACAACATCTTCAAATTTGTTTTATGGAAATTGAGTGACATATATGCATATACTAATTTAAATTTTGCACTCCTATACAGTGATGGAAAAAATTATAGACACAAGGAACTAAGTGTAACTAACGATTTTCAGTAATATTTTTCTAACAGAATTGTTCCTACATAAATGTCATATTAAATAATATCGAAAACTTATATAAAAATAGTCAGTATTAAAGGACAGGAAATCAATCCTTGAGCACTTTGATAAATCTCTATTACGTCAACTGACGCGACAGCAAAAAAAATGGTGTTCGCCTTACATCGAATAATCGTAAACTCATCAGCGAACATCGCGGTATAGAAGTGCATTTTTTCAGTTCAGGGCACGAAACTTTTTTATGCTAACACTGCTGCAAAGCATAGAAGTAAGCTTCAGAGACGCTATAAAGTGTATATAATTCCTGATCAGTATCAAATTTTGTATCTACTTAGGCACGGTTTCATATTTGTGTGGATATGTGTAGCAAACATCTTCCCGGTCTTAAGAATTTGCGCATCAGAATTATCTGTTCGGAAATATTAAAAGTTTTTGGAAGCTTCGCGGTTTTTCGCATCACCATTGAGATGCCGTGAGGACAAGTTATAGATCATTGAGATTGAATTTCGTGGGTTTTTTTTAATTCGTTTTTTAAATATTGGTACGGAGTACAAAAGATTCAACCAGAGTCGAATATAATTTCCTTATTTCTTCCAGTTCAGATTGTTTCACTCTTTTTTTGGAAGGATTTTGTCAACATTTATACTTGATTAATGAACGTCAACAATAAACTCTTATGGAAATATTCATATATTTTGTCGTCTCAAGGCCGACAGGCTGAACTGGACTAACAGCATATTTGCGCACGCGCAAAGATGCTTTTGTACCCCAGCTTTAGAAAAAATGGCAGAATCTGCAAACATTTTAAAAATTGCAAAAATTTGAAATGTAGCAGACGGTAACGGGAAAGTTATACTCTTACGAAGAGATACATCATTTTAGGAAAAGGTGAGCCAATCTTAAACCATCTTCACAAAAATTATTAGTAATCTGCGTTAACAAACAGAGAAAAGAGAAAAACAAACATGCACACACTCACACACACACACCCACGTACCCTAGACTTTTGCAGATTACAGATCCAATAGAGCGAAGGAACCTTTGAAAATTCCCTTAGCAAAGGAAAATAAAGGGAAAAAGTTTTCTTCTTTATACCAATTTCGAAAAAAAACAAATAAACAATTAAAAGAAAACAATTTTTTGAGGTCATTAGGAGATGGCACAGCAGCTCTAAGGGAAGATGATTTATTTTTCAAGTACTTTTCCAAAATTCATGCATAAAGGAATCGGCCGTGACACCATCTTTTGCTATCGAAAACACGACTCGCTACAATAATAACAAGAAAATTAAAAACACAAATTCAAAATATTTCAAGTTATTTCCTTTTATATCTTTTAGCACTCTCTCTCTCTCTCTCTCTCTCTCTCATAAAGCATAAAGTAGTCTGAGTCCCATTTATGATTCCTACTTTCTTCTTAAATTCTTGATATTCTTTAATACGGAATATATGAAGAAACAATTTGTTTGCAAAAATTCATTAATTTCAATTAAAGATCCTAAGTGTGGCAAATATTTTTAACTCATCACTGTGTATATAGGTTTACATAAAATTAACGAGCAATTTTAATTCAAAAAAACTTACCCAATTTTCCGGTTATAGAAGCTAAAGCACTTTTGCCGATCACCTGAGCTGATGACGCTTAAGTTAAGTATGTGAAAATGTACATAATTTTTACACATTATCACAAATAGTTATGATAACAAATATTTTATAAGATTCTTAATGTGTTTGGAAAATAACTCTCTTCATAAATATCCTAATGCTTTGCTTTTTATAAACTTACGCGATCATTTAATGTGAGCTGAAAACCAGAATTCATAATTGTTAATGTATTTAGAAAACTAGTACCTTTTGATTTGTATGCTTTAAGTGTGTCGTTAGCCACTTGCGATATTTCGTTATTGGTAACTTCCAAAAGCAGTTCGGTAAGCGTACGCCGTACAACTATCATCTATTTTTAGGATGGTATTTCAAAATGAATATACAAAGGCTTACAAGTAAGTTAAGAGCATTGTCATTGGTTTGCGTACCAATTCTTCTAGTTTTTGTTCAAAGCTTTTACCCTCTTCCCTTGTTGCTAATGCAGGTATTGCTTTATCCGCAAAACGGGTGCTTCCTTGATTATCTACAAGATCGAGAGGAACGGGGAAAGCCTCGTTACCTGAACTTTCTTCGTCGCCTTCCTCGACAACGTCCTAAATGATTTTATCAAATTATCGATAAATACAACACAGAGTTAATAGAATCATAAACCTATATGTGTTCTAAGGTTCATAATAAAACTTTCTCATACACGTTCTTGCATATATATGTTTAAGCGATTATGTCTTGGTTTTGGAATTCATTAAAAATACTTACCGATATTTTAGTTTTTAAGGGATTTACCGTTATATCTTTATTCAGTTCCTTATTATCTAAACTTAACTCTTTGTGCTTTTGTTGTCTTTCAAGTTGTTTTTGTTTTTCTCTTTCCATTTTTTCCAGGCCTTCTCTACATTAAATAATGGAAATTTTATATTGGAATTATTTATTGTTAGGACTTTCGTTATCTACCTTAACCAAGCTGGTAAAATTTTGCGTTTCGCTGCATCTAAAGAAGATTCAGATTCATTTGGCGTATCCGGCATAGCTTTAATTTCACTGTGACTTGGCACGGTTATCTCTAAAAGCGAAGGAATATGGGACGTAGAAGTCTTTGTCGCTTTTACGGATAAGACGGGGTTTGATATAGTTGGTGTTGCTGGCGTCGTTGTTTGCCATATATTCCAAGGAGGCTGTGCTGTCGTCCCTACACCGATTTGCGATCCGCTAGGTCCTAAAAAAATGTTGGCTGGTAGTTTAGTTTGCATGATTCGACTGCGTGACAGTCACTTTACCCAAATTCGACAACGAGCACTGTTGCATGTACCATGGTTGACCCAAATTTGGATTTTGTATCAGATTCTGTGGTGAAGTAGATGTTTCAGAGTGGGATTGGCTCGATGAAGCTCTGACAAAATCACAAATTGCTACTGAAGATTTTGCATCATTTTGTTCATCATCTTCCATATCCATATCGGCTTCACCTTTTTCTTCATATCCCGCTGCGACGACCGCATTTCCTGAGTGTTTATTAGCGATTGTTGTTGTGTCTTCCGACGATTGATTTATGTTGCTATCGCGCATCTGTATCCATTGTTGAGCGAGTTGCGCCCAGTCGATAGCTTGGCTTGTGGATCCACCATCACTTGCAGCCATTTGTGTGGCAAATTGAAAGGCTGCAAACTGACTCATATTGTTTACACCGCCATTCGGGCTATTGTTTGGGAACATTATAATATTGTATTAATATAATATTATGAAATCTATTATGGTATTCTAATTTTCTTCAAGAACTAATCGCCTTGCTACTTTACATCTGTTTTCTCAGTCTGCAATTAATCAATTTTCCTCTATATGGCATTATTATTTATTCTCTTCAAAAGAAGCGTGTATTGTCCAACACCGTTTTTTTTAATCGTAATTTAGAAAGTCGTCGAAAAGTCATAATAATTGAAGTTATGAATGAATGGATTGAATGTTAATTAAGCTAAAACGCAAAGCAAGAAGAAAGAAACGTACAAGGAGTAATCTTGTTTAAAAACGAGAATTTATTGATAAATACTATTTATTATTTAATGCTCCCTAAAGAAATAACATTTTTTTTTCGCTTTCGCGGTAATCCCTGATACCAAAGTCTATACATGATATTTTGCAATACAGATTCTCAAAATCAATATAAATTGTTTTAGAATAACAAGGTTCTTCACAACAACAAAAAATAAAGTTAATTTATTTTAAATTTTGAGACTATTTATTTAACATATATTTGTATTATAGCAATTTAAATCTTTTTTTTTGATGTTATCGGGATTAAAATATTAATTTATACTAGGTCGATTTAAATCTAATTTTAAATATATTTGTCATATCTAAATATTTAAGCAATTCGCTTGCTTTGTGTTAGAGCGATAGGTAAGTCCACCTCCACGCTCTTACTTTTGGGACGGGTTTCTTCATTCGTCCTTTCGTTAATCAATCAAAAATTTACCTTAATTTAGTTATCGTTGTTTTCCATATATCTGTTATTTACATTTATGGTAATTTCTTTACTTTTATTTTTCAAGTCGTATGTTCACATTGTTTTCCTTGCTTTTCCTTATAAAACAATATGTCTTCTGATTGTATTAGCCACATGGGAACTATCAACTCGAAAAACGGAATAACGCAACATTGTTGTTAAGACGTACGGTGTTTTTTTAGAAAAAAATAATTGATAGCACTGCTTGAAATATTAATTACAACAAGCTGGCATCATCTACAAATGTCTGGTCAAAATTTTTCAAAAAAAAATTGTTTTGAGAACGGTTCTTTTCTAAGTATTCTTCATTAAGGATTTAAGAAAGCATAATTTAAAGAACAAAGAAAAAGAAGGGAGAATTATGTTCAAAAAACCTAGCATTAGAGATAAAGAAAACCAAAGGGATCAGAAAGGAACTACGAATGCCAATGTCGGCGAGGAAGCGGCAGCTTCAGTGCGACTGCCGGCTAAAAATGTATGTATTGATATAAGCATGTTATTAATATGTTTAATGAAAAATAAAATTAGCCTTTGGTGGAAGGTAAAGCGGATATTGGGAACTTGGTAAAAAAAGTTACAGCTTTATCAACGACTGCTAAAACTAATGTGCCTTTAAAATCAACTAAAATACGTGATTCTGTTCAGAATAAGAAAGAACATAAGGAACCCGCTAATACGAAAACACAATTTAAAGAAATATCAAATAGCGCAACGGAAAAGACTTTGAACACCGATGGTGACGCCAAGAAAGCTGCAATTAAAATAGGTAAGATACACTTAATGGTTTTAAAGAATAATTAATAAAATGCTTAAAATTACTAGAAAAAAAGGATAAAAAATTGTGGACTCTTAGTAACTTTGATATCGGACGTCCATTAGGACGTGGTAAATTTGGTAATGTTTATTTGGCGCGTGAAAAAGAGTCCAAATTTGTTGTAGCGCTTAAAGTTCTCTTCAAGCAACAAATAAACGAGTGTAAAGTAGAACATCAAGTACGTCGCGAAATAGAGATACAGTCCCATCTGCGTCATCCCAATATTTTACGTTTGTATGGCTATTTTCATGATGAGGCTAGGATCTACTTGATTTTGGAGTATGCGCCCAATGGTACTTTATTTAAAGCGCTCCAAGAGCAACCATTGAAGCGATTCGAAGAGTATCAATCAGCTATATATATCAGATCGTTGGCTTCGGCTTTGCAATATTTGCATGGACGCGATGTTATCCATAGGGACATTAAACCGGAAAACCTACTATTGGGTCATAAAGGTGATCTGAAAATAGCTGATTTTGGTTGGTCTGTACATGAACCGAACTCACTGCGCACCACTTTGTGTGGTACTTTGGATTATTTGCCGCCAGAGATGGTTCAAGGCAAACCGCATACGAAAAATGTCGACCTTTGGAGCTTGGGTGTATTGTGCTATGAACTACTAATTGGTAAGGCTCCATTTTTAGCCTCTGAGTACGATGACACTTACAAAAGAATAATAAAACTTGACTATAAGTTAGCTGATCACGTATCTAAAGCAGCGGCCCATTTCATATCGAAATTGTTAGTTGTAAACCCTGAACAGCGTTTGCCACTAGATAAAGTCATGATGCATCCATGGATAATAGCTCATACTCAATAAATTACGACCGTTTGTTTTTTTATTTTTTTATTGTATACTTCTTTCGAACTGTTTTAATTTGTGTTAATTATTTGCGCCCAACTTAATTTAGGTTAGACTTCCCTTTGAGACTTATAAAATATATCTATGCATGGAAAGGGTAGTGCTATCAGTTCATATTTTCTAGATTATTATTTTATTAGTAAAAATGTGTTATTTGCGTTGGGTATGCACTCTATTAAATTTTTGCATTTATTTTTCGAATGTTTTTATAAAATCAATAAATCGCAAAAAATCATTGATAAACCAAAAATGCAGTAAATGTTCTTTTCTTTTTTTTTCAATTATTAAAAAAAATTTAAAATTTGAATGATGAATGGTTGGTGGGGAAATGTGAATGAATGACTTTTCTGTTCTAAAATTATCACAGTAACAGTAAAGTAAGATGAGACAAAGCTAATCTCTAAAGAATGCAAGTAAGTAGTATATTCGCTTTTAGACGAACTCTAGATGCCCAACACCTCATACAATACTGAATTTTGACACAGCCATGGTAAACTGTGATTAATTCATACCGAAAGTTGCGCAGCGGGTTTACCGCTGGCGAGCAAAGTTCACTTATTTCATACTTCAATACTAAGTATGTGGTAGGTTTCAGCTATCCATTTGAAATTTCGCATCTACGCAAGTTCTGACAAACTCGGTTGAAGAAACCAAATCAACTTCGAATTTCGCCCTCATTTAAAATGCATATAGAATAAGTGAAGTTTTAAATATATAGTGCATCCTCACCCTTCTTCTATGCTAGGCTTTACTGAATGAGGGGTTGGGCTAAAATTCAATATATTAATAAATAAGTTTAGAGTAACGCGTGATGACAATATCAAAATGCAGCTTCTAAATATTCTTATATTCGATATTCGAAACTTATGTGCTATCAATAAAAACAAACTAATTACGTATAGCTTGACCATCGTGTTTATTGCGCGCACCTGGATTCGAGTAATCATCTGTAAAAAAAAGCATTTATAAATAGAAGCACACTAGGTTTTCTATTCACATCGCCTAGTAGAACAGTGGTAGCTTTAGTGCGTTTGAATGCTTCACAGATTTTTAATGATTTT